TTTAAGCAGTTAAGTTTGAACTACATGACAGAGAGGCCTTGTCGGAGTAGGTGGAAGAAGAGACAAATTCCACTTATTAACCAAACTGACTGTTTGAGGGGAGTTACAAGCTGTTGTGGGAGGCACTGAAGGCACCAATTTTAATAAAAATCCCAATAGGACTCACAATGACAGGGCCCTGGCTCAGGGTAAGAATGGGGAGTCCAGTTCCTCTATAACTGGGTGAAAGGGCACAATTTTGTAAAGATCTTGTTTTTATCAGTGATCTACTGCAACTGAGTTGTAGAGGGGGGAAAAGAAAAAGCACCCAAGTCCAGAGTCATTCTTAAAGGAATTTGCAGGGAGGGAGCGTGGAAGAGACAAGGCTGATACCACCAGTCTGTATTTGTGGAGTGGCACTAATTTAGGAGTTTTAGTTTTTTGTTCACTGATTTATTATTTTCTACCCAGTCCTGCAGGCTGAAAGTAAAATCTACGTTACTGCAAAGCCCAGAACTTGATTTACATGCAACAGTAGCTTTGGGAGAAGACACATGGAAGGAGAAAGGCAGGGACATGATGCAGTAGAGATCATTGCAATTCCACTATGTTCAGGGTAAGGTTCTTCCACACCTTGAAGAGAGAGGGTAAAAGGCAGGAGAGGTCACCTTTGCTGTAGGAGAGGCAGTAAACTAAAGCTGTGGCAATTAGCACTGTATGTCCAGTATCAAGAAAGCCCTAGGCTACAATTTCTGAGTCAGCCCAACATAACCACAGTTGCCAACTATTGCAACAGCTGAAAATATTATCTTCACATTACAAGTCTGTCTATATAGTTAGATGGTTTAAGAACAGGTAGAGTTGGTTATGGGCTAAGTTTAGTTTTGATCACGGGAAGACCACTACATTAGTGGTTTCAATAATCCTGCCCTTAGGCCTGTATACAGCCCTGGAGTTCCTAAAAAGCCATGATTCATCATTTATCACTCAGAGGTTCCTGCCCAGTACAGAGTTAAGTGCAACATCTATTTAAATTTATCAGGAGAACTTTCTTTACCTTTCTCCCAAAGCTACAGTCTGGCCAAATGAAAAATATTTTTATTAAAAGAAATGGACACTTTTTCTCTATTGAGGTATTATTCCATTTCCTTTAGAGTTCTTCTACCATTTGATTTTACTTCAGTGTTAGAAGAATCAGGTTCATCATACACCAAAGGCTCTAAGACATGCTATAAAAAATATTTGAGATCAAGATTCCATTCCAGGCATTGTTCATCTTTAAGTTTTCAACTTAGAGGGTTATCACTCAATACTAAGGTATTGGAATTCCAGTTCTGATATTAGTTTGCATCTCCTGTGGCTCTCTTCCTCTTCCACCTCCCACCTGAGCACATTAGTGGGAAACAAGTGGGAGATGAATCTCCCTTGATCTGAAGAAAAGCAATCAGAGTTCAAAAGGAGGAATTTAGGAGAGCGAGTAAAAGCTTCTGCTATCCTTGTTTTCTGACCAGAAATATTAAAATTGTTTACATTTTTTTCCCAACCTTCTTGGGCAGAAGAGCTTGTCCCTTTGCCTTCCAGGGACACTGTGATTCACCTGTGATTCATTGAGAGGTGGCTACAGCATCATGCTGCTAAACAGGGGTAAATGCACACAGAAATTTAGAGCAAGGTGGTATAAGAAAGGCAAGGCCATGGAAGTGTCATTTTACCAGCCTTGTAGTCTGTAAAGCTCACTGCAGCACATCCCTAACAAATTAAAAAGCAGAAAGCCTATGCCACTATGCCAAACCCTTAACCATCATATGCAACCAGAAGAAAAAGCAGGATTCTGAGCCTATCCTTCCACAGAGCACAGGCCAAAGCTCCCTGTGAGCCACAGAATCTTCACCAACTTGAGATGCTGGGTCAATAGCTTCAGAAGCCCTAACAGGATGCAGAATCCTTACACCAAAAAAAAAATGGATTTAGAGGAATAATTTTAAGACTCTGCAACATAAAAGATAAGATGTACTTCAGCCAAAACCACTCTGGCCTAGTGGCTGGGCAATCCTCCAATTTAAGCATTTGCACACTCTTTGTTGAGAAGAGTGGAGTATTCCAGTTTCCATATTAAAAGCTTAATCATCAGCTTCTGCTGCATGTCTTGCTTAAGAGCTTTCTGACCAAAGATGCCGAAGCAATACCTCAAGAATCACACAGGCTTTGATTCAGAAGATGATTATAAGGTTATTCCCTAATTCTCTTCAGGAAAGTTGGGCCTGAGACAACATCATACTGGCAGATGGTTGTGTCTTGAAGAAGGCAGAAGTTAACTATGTATTTTTTTTAAATTCACAGCAGAGCATGTCTGAGCTTGCACAGCCCCACTGGACAGGTTCAGAAGGAAGCACAAGTCGTTGCACAGGATGCAGCTCCGTTTTCTGCGAGCAGCGACATCCTGCACATCGCACATAAAAATCATCACTGCCTTCTGCCAGGCTGGGTGCCCGCTGCCTCTCCCTCGGGCAAAGGGCTTGAGGAGCAGGGAGGTAACAGCAACATCAGTGAGACCGCACCAATAAACTGTCATAAACCCGACTCCTCTCAAGCCCCTCCTGCATTTTTAAGAGACATCAGGGCTTTAAGGAGGGGAAAGGGGGGAAATAGGGAGAGGGCAAAGGGGAGAAAAAGGGGGAGGGAATGGGAGGGAAAGCGGAAGTGGGGGGAAAGGGGGTTAGGGGGGAAAGGGAGTAGAGAAAGGGGGAAAGGCGGGGGTGGGGAAGGAGAATGGGGGTTAGGAGAATGGTGGGAAAAGAGAACAGGGGAGAAAAGAAAGGGAGGGGAAAGCAGCTCCCCCGGCCCTGCAGCCCGACATCCCGCCCAGGGCCGGGCCGGGCCCCTTCCCGTGGCACCGGGCCGGGGCTCAGCGCTCCCGGCCCAGGGACCAGGGCCCCCCATCCCGCCGCCCCCGGCCCGGCCGCGCTGCGAGGCCGCGCACTGACCCCACGATGGAGATGAGCGCGGCGGCCACCATCAGGTAGTTGGTCTGGTAGTAGAGCAGGTTGCTGACCACGCGGTTGTTCCATTTCGAGATGTCCTTGAGGTCGGGCAGGGCGAAGCGGTCCGAGCCGGGGAAGAAATCGTCCCAGGCCCGCAGCGGGGCCACCTGCACCTCCATGGCCGCCGCCGCCGCCGCGCAGGCTCGGGAGAGGCGGGCACCGCCCCGGGGCGGCTCCGGCACCGACCGACGGACACCGGCACCGACGGACACACCGACAGCGATAGGCGCACTGGCACCGGCCCCGCTCCTCGCTGCTGAGACCGCGAGCGAACGAGCGGCAGCAGCAGCACAAGCGACGGTCTATGTCACCGCCCGCCACACGCCCAGGGATGGCAGCTGACACGGGCTGCTGTCAATAACCGCTGCAAATTCATTGTTCCCTCAGCAAATGGTGATGCGCGCTTAATATTAATGCCGAACCCGCTCCGCATCATCTGTGAGACAGGAGGAGTGTCAGCCCCAGCCACGGGGGCCCTGGGGGGTGTCCCATTGCAGACTGGCTCTGCTAGTGGGGGTGCTGTCTTCAAGGTGAATTTTCTGTCTTCAGGCTGAATTTTCTCGCCTTTTTTAAACGTAATTGATGTCAGATAACTTCAACAATACAAGTTGTTTAATGAAGAAAAAGAACGTTCTGTTTTCAAGCATTGCGTAAGATTAGATCACCAAAATAAATATGCATTAGGTGGGCGGGGAATATGTATTAAACAGGCCGGTTTATGTAAATTTTACTTATAAAACATGGCACCCCTTGGGATGCTTGATTGGTGGAAACCTACACCTTGGACCCTGCACAAAATAAACAACGTCTCCTTCCTAAACTAGACTCTGTGTCTGTGTTTAGAGAGCTCCTAAAATCGGCAACAGGATGATTGTGGAGGGAAAAGTTGGTGGCAGCAGCTATGGTGGCTCAATCCCAGCAGTCCGTGTTGGAGCACTTGTGGTTTCAGGCTTTCACACTTCACCCACCATGTGCGTACCACACAACACCCCGGGTTTGCTGCAGGCATCAAAGTCCTTCACAAAATGCAGCCTGGTAAGCCGGGAGGCTGGCAGCTGCTTCTAAAGTTTGGGAGTCCAAGGCTTGAGAGCAACCCTCGTGAGTCCTGCTCGTCTGCTTCCCGTCCTGTGCTCAGACGCCATTCCCTAGTTGTGGTTTATATTCGATCCCAGGAGAGCCATGGGCACAGCCTGTCCGGCCTCTGTCCAGGGAGTGCTGACAAGGCAAAAGCCATTGTGGTGGGCAGTGACCAGCCCCAGGCTGCTCCCACACCCACGTTTGGTCTCTAGTCATCCTGCAGGCTCTAACATGCCCTGAGAATGCCCTCCTGGGTAACTCTGAGTTCAAAGAGGCCACCAAGACGATCAGAGGGATGGAGCATCTCTGCTATGAGGAAAGGCTGAGAGAACTGGGGCTGTTGAGCCTGGAAAAGAGAAGGCTTACGGGTGACCCAGTTGCTGCCTTCCAGTACCTGATGGGAACCTACAAGAAAGGGACTTTTTACAAGGGCCTGGACTGACAGAATAAATGGATTGGCTTCAAACTGAGAGAGGGCAGGTTTAGATTAGATATTAGGAAAAAACTCTTTATTGTGAGGGTGATGAGGCCCTGGCACAGGTTGCCCAGAGAAGCTGTGGCTGCCCCATCCCAGGAAGTGTTCAAGGCCAGGTTGGACAGGGCTTGGAGCAACCTGGGCTAGTGGAAGGTGCCCCCGCCCATGGCAGGTTGGAACGGGATGATCCCTGAGGTCCCTTCCAACCCGAACCATTCCCTGGCTCTGGGATCATCAGGGAGGTGGGCCCAGGGAGACCCTTCAGCTGCCGGGGTCCAGCCAGGGAAGGCGGGAGCCTCTGCCTCCCGCATCAGGGGTTCCGCGGGGGTCCCCCCGCCGTGTCACCAGGGCGATTATCGCGATTATCGCCCCCCCCCCCGGGCGGGAAACAAGCCCTTGGGCCCGGCCCCGCCCCGCGCGGGGCACTGTGGGAAGCAGAGGGAGCTATGGCGGATGGTGAGGAACCGTAAGTGCCCTGTATGTGTGTGCTCGGCCGCCCCCGCCCCGCGCCCGGGGAACCCCCTCCCTCCTCCCCGGTCTCTGTAGCGCGATACTGACCCTTCTTTTATTCTCTCTCTTTTAGGGAGAAGAAAAGAAGGAGGCTAGAGGAGCTGCTGGCGGATGGGTTAGTGCGGGGCTGCGGGCCAGCGGGGGCAGGGGCAGCGCTTGGCGGGGCGGGGGCAGGGCAGGGAGAGCCGCAGCCCCGCGGGGGATGAGGGACGGGGGAGGCGCGGGCAGGGAGGAGGGAGCCCCAGGAAGGATGTCAGAGGCGGGGCAGGGCTTGGACGGCAGGGGCTGGGGGAGAGGAGCCCGGCCGAGGGGTTCGCAGCTTGGCATGGTGCGCTGAAGAGCTTGGGGACGACACGGGGGGAGCTGCCTTGCCGGCCAGGGAGCGGGGAGGGCCTCCGGGCTAGAAGCAGGTGGCTAAATTTTTTGGCTGAAAATTTAAAAAAATTCAGGCCGCGGGAACGGTTGGCCTGTAGCTTGTTAAAAGCTCTAAATTCTATGCACCCGCCTTAAAAACTAATGCTGGGAAATCTTCAGCATCATCTGCTTCCGTCCTTTAGCTGCTCCCTTCCATCTGCCTCCTGTGCCCCTCTTCCCAGGGATCACAAAGCCGGCCTGCCCGAGCACCGGGCTCGCAGGCGGTGCATGTGTGTGTCGGGGTGAGGGTCACGAAAATCCCTGGGCATGTTGGATGGGAGGGGTGCATGCCGAGTCCCTCAAAAGCCTGGAGCTTCGGAGATGTGAAAGTGGCAGGGAAAAGTCTGAGCTTAAAGCAATGTAAGGACTGTGGTGCTCTGAGATCTTAAACGAAATTTAAAACGAAAGCAACTCGGTGAAATAATTAAGAGTTTTGTTAAACTCTCATGATACTTGGTAATGCTGTAACAGCACAGAAAATAAACACTTCTAAAAAAGTCTCCGAAATAGAAAATCTCAGGTTGAATTATTGATGTTTTTCAGATCTCCACAATGTCCAACCCTGCAAAAACCAAACTGTAGTACAATTGCAAAAGTGAAACTAGATCTTACTATTTTGCCTTACTTATAAAGGGATATAGATGTTTAAACACACAAGGAATGGTGCTGCTTAATGGCTGTTTATAGAGGCTATATGAAAGGATGAAAGAAAGTTGTTCTCAGTGCCACCAAACACAGCTTCTACACTCATTTACGGAAAAGCTAAAAATTATAATATCCACAGAAGCAGGTTTTGTGATGTCTACTGACCTATTTTATTTCCTTAAGTCAGTGCTTAGTGCATGTCCTGAAACCTGGTGTACAACAGGTGAGGGGTTCTGTAGAGGGAGTGTTGTGTTTATTTACAACATTTCCCATTGTGTGAAATATGTGTATTTTCACATTATTGTGAAAACTGGAGAAGGTACAAAAGTGCAGAACAGGTCAAAATCCCCTTATGAATTCAAATAATTTTTATAGCTCTTATTTAACTGCTCATAGAGTAACTAACTTGACAGTTAATCAGGAAGGAGTTCAGTCTGCAGTCAAAATATCATAGAATCCTAGAATAGTTTGGGTTGGAAGGGACCTTAAAGATCATCTCCTTCCAGCCCCTGGCCAGGGACAGCTGCCCAAAACAGGTGAATTATGATTTATTTATTCCTGCAGTTTAGACTTTTTCCCTGTTACTGCAAATCTTTTGTAAAATCAGTTGTCTCTAACTTGAAGTTACTGTGGACATGCTGTATTGTCCATGTTCTGAATGCTGTGAAAATAAAGGAATTCACTCTAGATGTTTTCACTACATTTTCGAGTCACCAGGAAGTTGTAATAAATTCTAAATATTACCCAACAGTTGTTAGCCAAGTGCTTTTCATAGGGCTTCACAGAAGGAAGCAAATAACACTCCTTATCAACGGTGGCACACCCTTTTATATTCAGGATTGGGAAAGCTCTTTTATAAGGAGTTTAGTTTTGTGTTAATGTAGAACACAATCACATATATTGAGCGGAGCTCCTATTTAAAAAGGGGAGTGAGTAGCTGATGATCTTGCACTAGAAAATTACTTGAGAGCTGATTTTAAACTATTCCAGTAAGTCTCTGCAGTTTAAATTTATACTCATGTACTATTAAAAGTGACCTGCAAAAGCAGAAAAAGGGTACTGGGGTATTTTGTGTAAAATTCTGCCTTGAAAATTCAAAGGAAGATAACTACAAACTTTCCTTTTTGCAAGTGAGACTCTTACTGCTGACAGGCTCAGAGATGACTGAAAAATGGACGTGTTCTAAATTACACAGTACCATCTGAGGGTGAAGAGCATTCAAGATTTGTGTCTTTTTTAACACTTGTTCAAATTAACTACTCTGAAGATTCAGAGGACAATGTTGGGGCACGTTACTGTTATTTATTCAGGGCCTCACAATTGCTGTTACATACTGGTAATTCTAAATTTATGAACTTGAAAAATCTGTCAAGAAAAGGATACAGGACTTTACAGATGAAAAAAACACCCTCAAAATCTAAAGGGACAAGCTCTTTTTCTATGTCTTCTTTAAATATGAGGGAAATAAAAGGAATTAGACTAGACCCCTTTTTCACTTCAGGTCAACTTTTACTAGTAGCAGTTAAATCAATGGGTTTATTGAAATGCCTGAGGTTTTTTCCCCCTCTATGCATATTTGTATTGTTGCTTTCTAGTTGCACAGATAAAACCCACTCATGCAAATGCTCACGTGCATAACACACACGCAGAACATGCAGATGCATTTGTACGAATGGTCAATAATTTGGGTGTTTTTTTAATATAGAAGAGTTGGAGGTGTGGCTTTTTCTCTATGATTTTGCAGCTGAATTTACTGTGTTCTGTGCAGAATGGCTGTTGATGGTGGGTGTGGGGACACTGGAGACTGGAAAGGTCGCTGGAACCATGTAAAGAAGTTCCTCGAGCGATCTGGACCATTCACACATCCCGATTTCGAGCCAGGCACTCAAGTGAGAAACACTTACTTTCAATAAAAAAATCTATAGTGTGTGTTGCAAAGTAATCTAAACAGGTTCATTAACTGACCCACCAGCAATGTGTGAGTACTAAAACTGCATGAAGAACTTGTGTTTTAATCAACTGAACGTCGTGGTCCCAGAAGAACACACTGTGCTCTTTTTTTAAGCTTGTATTTCTAAACTGTTTATCATATATAAATATATAACAACATATGAATTATACTCTGTCTTTGAGTTTTACTTGAAAAATAGCAGCATTTATCTTCCATTTTTAAGTAATTTGATGCAGTGAGAAATTCATTGTACTTGAAGAAATTACTGTTAATATGAGTACTTGGAGGACTGGGAAAGATGTTTAGTAAGGAAAAGCAAAATTTAGGCTGTTTTAATTATTTCTTCTGCTTTCCTTTTTTTGTACATTTTGTTTTAGAGCTTACAGTTGAAAGTATTTTACTGTTATCTTTTTAATGTACAGTTCCATTACTTACTAGTTGGAGGCTGGGGTGTAGTGGAACAGTTCACAGAAAGCAGTTATGTAGTTAAACCTTTCAGTTCTTTTTGGCCAGCAGTGTTACCTGTCTGTTTAGATTTATTTAGTGATGTGTATATATATGTATATCGGTGAAATATTTGAAGGAGGAAAACATTACCTCCTTAAGCCAAATAATAATAAAAGTGGAGCTTGCTTTTTTCATGGTCAAAATTAATATAAAGATAATACTGATATCAATAGAGGTCTTGCTTTACTCTAAATTGGGATATAGGAACTGCTGATTAAAGTCCAATATATAATTACTCATGGAAACACAAAGTTGCTTTATCTGTAACTCACTAGGCACTAAAAATTTATGGTAACATGTTTATAAGGGTTATGAAACAAAGGACAAATCATATTAATTTTTTGTTTTATGTTTTCTGCAGGCCCTTGATTTTTTGCTAAGCACATGTAAAGTACTAGTTATTGGAGCAGGAGGATTAGGATGTGAACTCCTGAAAAATCTGGTAATTTTCACCCTTTGCTTCTTAGAATCTTCTCTTTTTAACTAGAGAATTTATATAATATTTTATTATATATAGCTACTAGATTTCCAAGTTCTAATCATGTGTAAAATAGATGGTGATACAGACAGTAAACTTGAAGAATGTTGTTAATAAGCTTGAAAGGTGGTAGTTTAATATGTTGCATGTTATTTATTCAGCTGTCTCGAAGTTTGTCCTAAGGGACAACATATACTGCTGTTTATGGAGTGTAGCCAAAAGTTCATGTGCAGCCTTAGAGAGAGTCTGATGCTGGTGATTCTCCCTAATTACCTGATCCACTTAAACAAAGTGAACTAAGAACAAATCATGCTCATAATGGTACAAGAAAGGACTGTTTGGAGTACAGAAGTGAAAATCACAGACTCAGAATCGTTTAGGTTGGAAAAGACCTTTAAGATCATTGAGTCCAACCACAAACCTAACACAGGATTTCCCTGCTGTACAGAATACCAGGAGGTGTTCTGTAGTTTTCTTGTTTTCCCTGTGTTAGGATTAGGTAGGATAAAGCAATACTGCCTTCAGTAGAACATTGTCTTTGACTGTTTGAAGTGTTGGTAATTCCCTCTGTAAGTACCAGCACTAACAGCCCAACAAAGAATGACCAGGTACCTGTCTGCACACAGAATGAGGAGCAAATACCTTTGTTCCTGTAAAACTTGCTTTTTTTGGCACGTGGAATGAAATCCGGGGTTCTGTAAGCTTTTTGTTTCCTCTTCTCTTTTCACAGGCCCTGTCTGGCTTCAGACAGATCCATGTTATTGACATGGACACTATAGATGTCTCTAACCTTAACCGGCAGTTTCTCTTTCGGTAAGTGGTGTTTTCACAGTTCAGCTTCTGGATTTTTAAATGTACCTAAAGAAAACACGTGACTGTGATCATTATTTTGGTTGGACAAGATGTCGTTAAAGATTACTGAACCTTCATATCACAGCAGTACTCAGAATAAACTCAAATGTTGCTAAACTTCTTTGGGGATCTGTGGTGTCACAGTTTGAGTGTGAAGAAAATTCTTGTTCCTTGCCATTGCAGTAGAGCTAATGGAAAAAGTCCCACCAAAGAATAATGTACACAGACTGAAATCTCAGATTTTCTTATGCCATTTTCTTCTAAGCACAATGAAAAATTGTTGGATTTTTTTTGGTGCTGATAACTGTAGTTACATGCACATATTCAGGTAACTCTGAATATCTCATATCTGATGCTTTACAGGGATCACAGAATGCTTTGGGTTGGATGCTTTAATATTATCACGTCAGTAAATTGTCCTAAAGTAACAGTTAGTCACTTAATTTGATATTGCAATGCACAGAGACTGGAGAGGTTGAATCTGCTAAAATAATGCATTTGGAATTGCTTGGGTTTTCCCAGACCGAAGGATGTGGGGCGACCAAAAGCTGAAGTTGCAGCAGAATTCCTGAACAGCCGCATTCCCGGCTGTGCTGTTGTACCGTATCCTTTTGTAGAGAAGTAGTGGCCCTGGAGGCTTCAAAATCCTAGAAAACTCTGTAGGTGGTAAGAGTATCTCAAGTATTTTGCTGCCATCCTCTCTTTTTCATACAGTAAAGAACGGATTCATTCAGCTGGTGGTTGAGAATTCTTTCTCAGCGACATTAGCATCCAGGGAATATGCATGGGAAAGGCTCAGCTTTAAGAAACTGCTTTGTATTTTTCCACTGAGTGTTTTTATTCAAATGCAATATTGTAATTTTCACTGAGATACTGGAATTACAGGTTTATTCACCAGTGTTTTGAGTACTTACTGGTAGGAGACATTAGTTTATAAATTCAGAGCAGCACTTGCTGATAGGGGACTTTTGAGAGCCCATGTTTTGAGCTTCCTAAATATTTTGCCTACTGAACTTTCTCCTGTTTGTGACTATTACATTGTGTCTCTTACTTGTTTTGTCAGATATTACAGCTGCAGCTGTGGGAATTTTGAATCTCAAATCCCATAGTTTTTTTTAAAAAGTCTTGTATAAAACTATAGCAATAAATCAGATAATATTTTGGCCTTAGGTTAGCAAATAAGAAACAGTAAACTTAACCATAAATATATTCCTTTACTGGGCTTACCTTCAGGCATTTTAAAAAGATCCAGGACATGGATGAAAGCTTCTATCGACGTAAGTGGAATTTGTGTGCCTGCCAAACACCCACCGGTGCTTTAGGGGAACCTTGCAGTTGTTGCTGCTCACTGCTTTTCCTGGGAGTCAGATTGCTAATTATTTTAGTCTTCTACAATATACTGGAAATAAAAGTAACAAATAAAATTTAAATACATCTGTGATACAGGTAATCTAGGGGACATAGTTAAACCACAGTCACTGTCTGTGGACTGTTATGGACAGAATATTTGCTTGTTTTCAGAAATGTGCTTTAGTATATATTTAAATAATGGTTTTTTCCCTCTAGAGTTCCATATTATTGTTTGTGGGCTGGACTCTATAATTGCAAGAAGATGGATAAATGGCATGCTGGTAAACTCTTCAGTCTTTTTAAGGCCTGATTATTGCTTGGGTATAGATAACTAAAACATGTTGGTGTAGAATGTGTCATTAAAAGGAATGAGGGCTATTGAAGCTCACAGCTTTCTGTATCTATTTCTGTTTTCTTTCTGTGAACAGGGTGAAATGCATGCTCTCTTACCTGCCCTTTTCTTCAGAAGTGTTAGCCAACATTTCTGCAGTGCCCTGCAGGGATAATTTCAGAGTTAGATTGCATTGTTTGTGGCCTTGTGCAGCCAGCTTTTGAAAGACATATGAAGGAGAGTTCTTCTCTGGATGCTCCCATTGTGAACTTTTGTCTTCATTACCCAAACAGTGCTTTTTGTAAATGCCATCTTTTGGAGCTGCAGTGTTACAGAATTCAGTGACCAGAAAGCTGGTCATTGAACTAGGTAGTTTTATCATTGTGAATTTGTTTACAAAACAAGAATCTGGAGTATGTACCTGTATTTAAAAAAAACCAAAACAGCAAACCAAGCATCAAAACTCCAAATCCTTCAAACCAACCAACCATTTGTTCTGATATACTGTAAGGAAATAACAGCATTTATCAGAGGAGGAGGTGGAGGGTGAAGGTGGTAGATAAAAGTCTTATGCACTGACAAATAGGTAGTGTTTTATATACTGTGCACCCTTAAAATAAACTGTGTGTTAGGCCTTCAATCTTACCGTGTACCATTAAGAATAAAATTTTTAGAATATGTTTTCTTCCTGCAACTTATTTAAAAAATCCAACCAAACAAAAACCAACAACCCCCCTACCTCTATTCATTAGATGTCCTTTTTAAATTATGAAGATGGGGTACTGGATCCAAGTTCCATCATACCTTTAATAGATGGAGGGACGGAAGGTTTCAAAGGAAACGCTCGTGTGATCATTCCTGGTATGACAGCATGTGTTGAGTGCACACTTGAGCTTTATCCCCCACAGGTAATTCAACCAGTGATATGTCCATTTTTTATATATTCTTCTGATTTGCTGCTTTCTTTTCCTAGTACTATATATAGTGTATTACCTGGTTTCTTCTGGTTTTCTTCCCCTGCCCAACCAGGTCAATTTTCCCATGTGCACTATTGCATCCATGCCCAGATTGCCAGAGCATTGTATTGAGTATGTCAGGATATTGCAGTGGCCAAAGGAGCAACCTTTTGGAGGTAATTAGTGTATTACACTGGTGCTAAATTGCCATTTCTCCTTTTAACTAACTTGAGTTGGGAATATACAGCTACTTCTAATAAAACAATCCTACCTCTTAACCTCGTGTGACTCATTGTCATATTGAATCTAAGCCTCCTCTGAGCTGGAGATGGATTTTCACTCCTTGAACTTGCTGTCCAGTTCCATATTTGCTCTTGTGTTTCTCACACTGCACAATTTCTTTCCTGACTTAAAATGTAACCTGTAAAACAGCTCTCTAAATCTGTGCAGTTAAGATAGTTTGTGTATAGGATGTGTTAAAACTAAAGATGTTTGTAGAAATGTACTTTGGTTATTTAAAATGTCAAGTTTTAAAAGCTTCATGGGGGATTTGTTTTAACTCCAGTGAAAACAAAGGGACTTTTTTTAGACTATAAGAATGCTGTATTTCTGAAGAACTTTTGTAATTGCAACTTACCTGTAAATTCTTAACTTTACTGTAGAAGGTGTTGCATTGGATGGAGATGACCCTGAACATATACAGTGGATTTACCAGAAGTCTTTAGAAAGAGCATCACAATTTAATATTAAAGGTGTTACCTACAGACTCACCCAAGGTAAGGGGATAGCATTTCACCAAGTTTGTGGCATTTGCACTTAGGCTGGATTGGCATTCTTTGTATGTATTACGACTAAGCTGGCAGCTCTGCTGAGAAAGAAATAGTTCTTTTCTCCCTTAAAACAGAAATAAGCAGCTCATTTCCTGTGCCAGCACAAATATTTTTATGATGAATCAGATGTTGAGGCATTTATGATAAATCAGGGGAACTTGTCTGGGGCAAAACTGAACATTCTTTTTGCCATTTTATTTTTAACCTGGCGCAGCTCCACAGTTTATATTACACTGTGACCACTTTTGCTGGGTCAAAGAGTAGGAAGAAAAGGATGTGATTTTAGCAATGGCAACATTTATGTCAGTTTAGACTAAAGCATCTGTTCCTCACTGCTGTCCATGCCTCTGCTCACAGGCAAGTGCAGAATGCTGACAGTCATTTAATCATAACAGAGCTGTGTGTTTTGTTTTTACAGGGGTGGTTAAACGAATTATTCCAGCAGTAGCTTCTACAAATGCAGTAATTGCAGGTATGGTGGAAGAGCTCATTTCACTTCTGCTTGATTGACTTGAGAGTTTTGTAGAACAAAAATTTGTAATTGAGAACTTGGGAAGGATAATAGTAATTTTTAAATGGGTCTGATTTATTCTTACAGTCTCATTTCTTTTTTCCATTGGGAAACTGGATGTGACTGTATAAACATTAAGCTCATGTTTGACTGTGGGAGTGAGCAAAAGCATTTGAGACTGGGAAAAAAAAATGGGGAAACACAGTACATAGTCTCAACATAGTCTCAGATTAGTGCCAAATCTAAGGCATAGAACTACCAGCTGCCTTCAGATACTTCTTTTTCTTGTTGCATATTGTTGAAGCTGTTTTTTTTTTGTCCCTTCTTTGGTACAGCTGTGTGCACTAATGTCTGATAGAGCTAGAAAGTGAAGAAATTGATTTATTTTTTCTCATTTCAGCTGTTTGCGCCACTGAAGTTTTCAAAATAGCCACAAGGTATTTAATTTCTTATTAATAACATACATGATGTCCAGCATAATGCCATGTGTCAACACTAACCTGTTTGCCATTGCAGTGCATACGTTCCTCTTAACAACTACTTGGTGTTCAATGATGTGGATGGATTATATACATACACCTTTAAAGCTGAAAGGAAGGTTAGTGCCATTAAAGGCTTGAAGGGTTGTTTCCATGATTTTTATTTTATGCAGTTTGTGTGTATTTCTGAACCCCAGTATTGAATCTCTTGGCCCCTAGCACTGAATAATAATATTTCTGACGTTTGAAAAGTGGAATCTACAATGTTACCAGTCTGCTACTTCTACAGAGCAGAAATACAAAATGATATGCAAATTTAAGATGACTCGTAGGCAAATCTTCTCAAAAAGAGGTTATGACTACAATTGATTTCAAGGTTTGTAGTTTTAGATTTTTTGTTAGTTGAAATTTGTCATTCATAAATACTTGGCTGCTGTTGGGAGTCAGTCAAACAGTGACAAACTTCATGAGGAATTGGGTTTTGTCATTAGTATTTGCAACAGTATTAATATTTCTAGAGCTAAAATTTTTAAAAAACCCACAATACAAACACTTTTGAGACCTTATTGGCAGCATTTTTAAAATAGTATCTATCATAACATGTATTCTTTGTTATAGGAGAACTGTCCAGCCTGCAGCCAGCTTCCCCAAAACATAGAGATTTCCCCATCAGCTAAATTGCAGGAGATCTTGGATTACTTGACAAATAATGCTTCATTGTAAGTGTGCAACTATGCCAACTTTTTTGTTAGGTTAGTGTTTCAAAAAGATAATTTGTAAATGTATTTTTACGTGATTGTCTGTTTTGTTCCTTTTTTTTTTTTTAATGTTATATATATAGGCAAATGAAATCTCCTGCAATCACAGCAACTATGTTTGGGGGGAATAAAACACTTTATTTACAGGTAATCTGAACATAAATAATTATCTTTAATAAACTTAATGTATTTAAATTTATTTTTCTGAACTTGAAAGGAAATCTTTGGCCTTTTTTTGTTTTTAATTTGCAGACAGTAGCTTCAATTGAAGAACGAACAAGGCCAAATCTTTCCAAGACACTAAAAGGTATCATGGAGTTGTCACATGTAGATTTTCAAGTTACAGAAAGTCAGTTCCATCCCTCTGTATGGATGTTTAGTTTTATTTTGCACTGTGCAGTAAAATGTGGTTCAGTGTCCTTTTACATGCAATACACTTTTCCCAGGTATATGAATTGTTTAAAGGTGAAGTGCAGGCAGATGCAGAGCAGACTGCAGTGAAGCAAGCAGATAAGTGCTGTAAATTAAACATACTTCAGTAGAGTTTTATATATATTTCTTGACAAGGTTTCTTAGTTTCCTGATTAAATTAGATTAATATTTATTTAGCCAGTGAGCTGTTTTCAGCTTTATTTCATCATATTTATGGTACATGGAAATAGCATTCATAACTTTTTGGGGTTTTTAAAATTAACAAAAAATCAGCAAACCTCATGGGTTTAATTAAATTGATTAAAATTTTCTTTCTGTTTCAGAACTGGGGCTTGTGGATGGCCAAGAACTTGCAGTTGCTGATGTTACAACACCACAGACTATGTTGTTCAAGCTTCACTTTACCACTTAATTTATTCATAAGTAAAGTGCAAATACAGCAAGAGAAATCTGTGCCCACCTTGTAAAACAAATATACTCTGTGGGTGTTAAAGCAACCTGAAATGTTCCTGTAAGTGCTAGCATGGTTGAAGGTTAGGAAATCCAAACAAATCACCATATTTCAGAATTGTATGTAGAAGCCAATATTTGGTGGATTATATTTGTATAAATGCTTATTCATGTACAGATCTCTGATGTATAGAAATACATTTTTTCCCGGTTTTTTTGGTCAAAATGTTCATGTTAATGTACTTTCAGACACATGGAACTTAAGGTGGCTAAAAGTCTTGTTTTTAACACATCTGCACACGTATATGCAAAGAAAGGACCTTTTAAAAGGAGCCACAGCGTTCTGGTTTTTAGTTGTAGCACTCCTTTGGACTTGCTGAGTCACCTTAAACCAGAAGAGGCAGTAAATTAAAATGAGCATTTTCCTCTTACTAGATATTGATTTGATCAATTTTATGAAAGGTTTTAAGTATGGGAGAGGTGACTTTGTTTACAAGAAACACAAAAGGACAAAATGATCAGCTGTACATGAAAATACAGACGTGTCTCCTCACTGTCCCCAGGCAGCCGCCATGCACAGCATTGCAAGATTATGTTCAAGTATCATTGGTGCTGTTAAGGTATTTATTAATAAAAATCATAAAGACACCTGAGTTTGTGACTAATCTGTGGACATTCGAGAGTGTTTATAGCCTCAGTTAAAAATTTTAGGGCATCACTTGGCTGCTTTGGTCAGAGACATCTCTCTAAGCAGCTCGGGGTATCTCAGTCTGAATTCTGGTTTTACGTGTTAACAGTGTTTAAATTTTACATCTGTTAAAATATGAACTGTGGGTCAGCTTTCCAGCTTAGTAGTGATGGGACAAGGAGTAATGGGTATAAACTGAAACGGGAAATTCAGGCTAGATATTAGGAAGGAATTTTTGGCTGTGAGGGTGGTGAGGCGGTGGTGGGACAGGTTGCCCAAAGGAGCTGTGGCTGCCCCATCCCTGGAAGTGTCCAAGGCCAGGCTGGAACAACTGATCTAGTGGAAGGTGTCCCTGCTCATGGCAGGGGCTGGGATGAGATGGGTTTTAAGGCCCCTTTCCAACAAAACCATTCTGTGATTACGATGCTGCCACATCCCGCTGAGTGCCTTTCGCTGAGCAGCCGAAGGGCGCGTTGGGAAGCAGGAACTAAGGCCGTGTTTATCGGCGGCTCTGGAGGCGCGGGCAGGAAGCCGGCAGGGCAGGAACCGAGGCCGAACACCCCCCGGCAGGGCAGGACCCAGGGCAGGACCCTCCGCCCCTTCCCGGCGGTTCCCGGCGCGGCTCCGGCTCCTCCTCCCGGGCCGGGGCCGGAGCGCGGCTGCGCCCGGGCCTCAGTGCGACGTGGATCCGGCGGCGCCTGCGCGGGGCCGCCCTTCGCTTCCCTTCGCTTCCCTCAGCGCCGAGCCGAGCCCGCGGCCCCGCCGGGCAGCGCCGGAGGGCTCTGAGCTCTGAGCCGTGGGCGGGGGTCCCCCCGGAGCCGCCGAGGATGAGCTGGTTCAACGCCTCGCAGCTGTCCAGCTTCGCCAAGCAGGCGCTGTCGCAGGCGCAGAAATCCATCGACCGGGTGCTGGACATCCAGGCCGAGGAGAGCCCCTGGCCCGACGCCGTCATCCCCGACTACGGTGACGGTAAGGGCGGCCGGCCGAGCCCCCTGATCTCCCTCGCTGCCCCCTTCCCTGGCTCTCCCCCTCCACTGTCTCCCGTTTAACCCCTTAACTGGGGAGGTTTAACCCGCCCCCTCCGTCCCAAGCCCCCTGTGGTTTATATAACCCACCCCCTGTCCCCTGGTGCCCCCCTGCAGGGTGACACCCGCACAGAGCTGGGGCAGGCTCAGCTCAGTGCCCCGCTGCTGTCACCTGGGTCCTGCCTTTATTGCCCTGAGCTTCACATCCGTGTTCCTCAAGGCGTTATTTATTTTGGCTGAGGGACTAAGAAGTGATAAAACCTGCTCAGTAATAGAAAAGGAGAAACCGTGCCCTTCCAGAGGCATTCATGGATTTGCTCTTTGCGACAGCAGAATAGGAGCTGAAAGGCTGGTCCACACAAACCAAGTGAAGGTTCCACTTTCCCTGGCATCAAGTTCATAATCCTCCAGTGTCTGTTGAAAGGAATGTGTTGGTGGAAAAGTTGTCATGGCCCTGAGAGAATGTCTCTCTTTTACGTGTGCTAATGTGGAACCTGAAGGAATGGTCAGTCCTAAATTACTGTTTGGAAATGAAAGAGCAAAAAGGAGCTCTCTCATTAGGAACTTCTTTTCTGCTCCATAAATAATATCTTACAGATAAGAATAAATAAACAAAAGGATGGGAAACTAAATAATCTGAAATCACAGCTATATGTAGGAGATGTGTATGTATTTGTAGGAGGAGGTTATTTCCAGGTGAACCCCCAGCAGAGTGAGATTTCTGAAAACTGAAAGCTGTAGCGATTGAAAGTGTTTTCCAAGCTGGTTGCTCAGCAAAGGTCAGTTTTGCATGTCTTTGTCCCTTTGTGGGCTTGGCAGTCAGTCAAGTAGTCCAGTGTCCTCTTAAATCACTGGAATTGTTTGTAGAAAACGGCGTCTTGCTTAATTTATTAAAATTTTAGACTTGTCCAAACATTTTTTAATTTTAATTTATATCTGAGTATTTATAGTAGTCCTGTAAAGAACTACTATATAAAGCAGCAAAGATCAGCATGCATCTGGTTTCAGGAAAAACATACTTGTTTTTAAAAGATGTCAAAATACGTTCTGAGCGTTAACAGTTCACTCAGAGCTTTTTCTGCAGCAATTGAATCATGGACAAGGTAGTAAGAAAGCAGATGTTTGTGGTAATAAATCACACATTTGTAGTATTTTGGGCATTGAGAGCAGTAGTTATCTGAATTTGAGACTTGAGGCCAACAGCTATCAACAGTTCCTGAAAGTTGAAGACAGCTTTAAATACTATAACTTGGTGTTTGTCATAGATGCTTCTGTATAAAGTGAGCTTGTTTTTAAGTAGCCTGAAATAGTTGCGTTACCCAGATTATATTTGCAGATACAAAATCAAATTGGGTATCATTTTTTGATTTATCTTTCTTACCTGGGATGCCACTGAAATTTGATGCTGAAATTCTCATTATCTTTTCTGTTGATAAGTCCTGGAAAACCTGCAAGAAGTACAATAATAGGGTGTTGTTTTAGAGCAGCTTCAGAACTAAACAATTCAGTATTTCTCCACAGGAGGAGAAAAAAACTCTCAGCTGGGCTGCTGCTGCTGTGTGTTGTCAGCTCCATGCTGGTGCTTGGTGTGTGAGGAAAAATACGAAGCCTGTCACAAACTGAAAGGGCGAGAACCCTTCCTTGGTGTAAATTCTGCAAATATTTAAACCTTTTCCTCTCTGTTTTCTGCTGTGGTGTGTGAAGTGTTTGTGTGCTACTGGCAGATAACTTTTAAGACCTAGTAATTGTTTTCTCTTCTGTAATCTGTGTGTTCTCCTCACTACAGATTTTCAGGTTGTTTTGCCTGGCCTCCTCCCACTGTAGGAAGCAGGACACCACATTTGCTTTTGCTGGTTCCCTTTGCAAAGTTGCCCAAATAGCACAGCCCTGCCCTTACAGCTCTCAGAATGCTCTGTGGGCTTGTTTCCCTTTCCCTGACACTTGTCTCCATCTGCTTTTTGGAATTGTCACTCTTGGATTGACTGGTGCAGTTTGTGTTTGGGTTCTTTCTGCCTTAAAGTTGCTGTTTAACCAGGAGGGAGCAAGTTGGTTCTGTTCAGGTACTCCTGCTTTGTAGAGGTGTCTGTGTCCAGCTTAAGTCTTAAGCTTAAGGGAGACATGAAGTAGTTTTCTTTTACTTTGTTTAAAAATTGAGTCCAAGCTTTGTAAGGAAGTAGTAACAAAAATGATGCTGTTTGTGATTGCGTATAATATTCACTTTAAGTTGTATGATGTTGAATACGTTCTTTTTTGAACTGTTGCATCTAAAAAGATAAATATTGAAAAAGAATACATTTTAATTTTTTTTTGCCTATTTCTCCTTTTTTTTTTTTTTTTTTTATTTCTTGTTTCAGGAACAAATTCTCTCATAAGTGGAGGATGGGATACTTCTTCCTGGGGCTTGAGTTCCACTACAGAGCCCCAGAATCAGCCGGTGTCGCCCACAGCAATCACCAAGCCGGTGAGGAGGACGGTAGTGGATGAATCCGAAAACTTCTTCAGTGCCTTTCTCTCCCCGACGGACGTTCAGAGTATACAGAAAAACCCAGTGGTGTCCAAACCCCCAGCCAAATCACAGCGACCCAAAGAGGAGGTGAAAAGCACTTTAAAGGAGTCTCAGCACCCCACTCAGCTGGAAGTGCCGGTGACGACGGAGGCAGAAGTGAAGGATTCCTCTGTAGCTGGCCTGGACTTAAAAAGCCTTGATATTCCCAAGGAGAAATCAGAAGAGAATTCTGGGCTGAAATCTGACACCAAGCATGAAGCAAGCACAGATGAAATTACTGACAAAAAGGCATCTGCTCGAAATTTGGAAGAACCTGAGGATGCTCCTAGTGAAAAATCCAGTGTAGGAGGGGAAGGAGCAGTGGGTGCACCGGAGGGCACTTCACAGCCTCTTGGTGCGGGCACAAAAGACATGGGTTTGGAAGGAAAGGAGAGAAAGACTGAGGACAGACAAAGCAATACCCCATCACCTCCCATTAGCACTTTCTCCTCTGGCACTTCCACAACCAGTGACATTGAAGTGCTGGACCATGAAAGTGTGATAAGCGAGAGCTCCGTGAGTTCAAGGCAAGAAGCTGCAGATTCCAAATCCAGCCTTCACCTCATGCAGACGTCGTTCCAGCTTTTATCCACCTCTGCCTGTGCGGATTATAATCGTTTAGATGACTTCCAAAAAATGACAGAGAGCTGTGGCTCCTCTGATGCTTTTGAAAGGATTGACTCATTCAGTGTCCAGTCCTTAGACAGCAGAAGTGTGAGTGAAATAAACTCAGATGATGAGTTATCGGGCAGGGCTTCTGCCTCAGCGTCTGCCGCCGTCAGTCCTGCCGTGCCAAAGACAGAAGCGGTCGATGCCCTGAAAAATAAACCTGAAGTCTTGAGTGATGCTCCTGTGTTACACACTGAGGAAGCTGAGATGGAAGAGAGTGGGAGGAGTGCAACCCCTGTTAATTCTGAACAGCCAGATGTTCTGGTTGCTGCTGTGCAAGCTCCCGAAGAACAGGTGGTGAAGGAGGAGGCCGAGGCACAGCAGGATGCTGTGGAGCAAGCGGTAGAAGAGGACACTGAAAAGCAAGAGTTTAAAAAGGTATCTGTGGAACATGTATTGCAAACACACCCTTTAATTTCAGGTGAAACTCCTGACATCTCCTTACATTAGCTTGTTCTATATCTCCAATATCAGCTTCACCATATTTGAATGAATTGTCTCGCCCTGTAGAAAACTGTCCTTGATGTCCTGCAGAAGAACAATACTGGTGAAATTTCTGGTCAGATAGTTTTGGGTTACACCCGACCCACCTGTTTAACATAATTGTGAAGTGTGAGTAGTGCTGGCAAACAGCACTTCAGTAGGTCAGAGCTTGATAAGTCAAATGTGTTATTTTAATTCTTTAGTGTAATTTTTTTTCTGTGAAAGGTGGAAAAGATTCCTCGG